CTCCAGGTCCTAGGGAGTGTAGCACCTGAATGCGCTCTGCAAGCATTCCAGGAAAGCTGTGGGGCTCTCCTCAGGTCCTTGTCTCACATCATAAGCCTTACTTATATTAGTTGGCCACCCGGCCCCTGCCTTGCGACTCACCAACAGAGTCTGGTCATAGACTTTGAGCCTTTCCTTACCTTCTGCTGAGTTAGGATCCCATTCTGGCCAGACAGTGGGGGACTCTATTATCTATGAGGGTAAATTCACAGTGAACTCCCCAGTGGGTCCAGGGACAACTTGGTGGGCTACTCTGATGATCCTGTTTCTCTATTCAGTCATCAACAGAACTTGCAACAGCTGCTGGCAATCATCTCAGGTGGGCAGGTGGGTAAAGAGGACAGTTTCTAAGAGGTTAGTGAGGTCACGTGGATTCTCAGAGAAGGGAGCATTTTGGGAATGCCAACTGTACAAATCACTAGTGGTGAAAGACCAGTAATGATACTGTTGGTTCCCAATCCTCATTTGGCGGCCCAGTTGGCCTCAGTGGTAGGACCGCACAGCCCTGAGCTTGGGGAGTTCTCCCCGCCCTCCGCTTATTGCGGGTAGCCTGGGCTGGCCCTCCACTTGCTGCCTGATTCTCTAATGGAGCTTCTCCAGCAGTGTCCTTGGCAGGTTGGAGGGGGGCAGAGGAAGTGTATAGGGTGGAGGAAAGATATCCTCCTCATCCAATCCCTTTGTAGGATTGGGGCAGAGACAAGCCCCCCCCCCGGGTTTTTGCTCAGCAGTCAATACCTTAACCTGTTGAGGAAAAAATGTTTTACCCCACTGAAGGGTTTTCTATTAGTCCCCACCAGGTGACTATATAGGTAATCTGATCTCGGTAACATTTTCCACTGCACTTATAAGCCTGGCATTGTTTTCTTTTTGCAGTCACCTTACCATCACCCCAACATGCAAGGCAAAGCGCTAAGGGAGGAGAGGGAGTCTGTCCCATGTTAGCAGTGTCAGGTCCATTGTCAAAACAGTGAACAAAGATACAAAGAACAAGACAAACACAAGGACCCAAGGAGAGGAAAAATACTTTGCAAACAGAGTCAGAGGTCTGTGGTCTTGATGAGCCCTGGACTCCAGACTCTAAAATACCAAAGTCCATGTACTTTGGGGGCACTCTGTCCCCAGCAGGGTTGCTTGGTCCCTGCTCCTGTCAGGACCTGGGATGTCTTACCTTGTCCGAGCCGTCCAGTGTGCTGTTTGAGAAAAACAAGAAAAACTGGATCTTTGGAGGATTCCATATCTCTGAAGCAATCAGAAATGTAGAAGAAACTGAAAGGAGAGAGAGAGAGAGAGAGAGAGAGAGAGAGAGAGAGAGAGAGAGAGAAATGGGAACTCACCAGTCTGTCTGAAACTTTTGGGGCAGGGGTCTGGGGGTCATGGGGAATTCAGAAATATAAACATTAAATTTTTTTTCCTCCCAAATCAATTTTTCCTCATATACCTATCTTCTAGAGATGATTTCATATTCTGTAATCTCTGTGGTCAGGCAGGTAACTTCATGTGGTAAATACTACATGGAGGCATGTGGTAAACTGAATATCACACATTCTACCAAATGACATCTCACATTCTGCTTTCAAGAAAATTGCATTTTAAAAAGGGAGAAATAGCAAAATTGCTGAGTGGGTGGAAGCATTTGCTATCACACCTGCAGACCTAAGTTTGATCCCCAGGACCCACATGGTATAAGACAAGAACTGGTTCTTTCAAGATGTATTTTGACCCCATGGTATGTATGTTCATGCATACACATGTACACACACACAATAGAAAATTTCAAGGAATTATATTCTCTGGATTTAATCTAGTCTCTTCTCTGTTTAACTTGCAAATTATGATAAATCTTGTATCATCATCCCCACTATATTTTATCTGAGACAGGCTCTCATTTTGTAGCTTAGGTTTACATGGAACTCACTATTGCTATGAACTGGTGGCAATTCTTTTGCTTAGCCTCCCAAGTACCAGGATTATAGGCATTAGTAACTGGACCAGATTCACAGTTATGTTTCTATAAATTTTCATTTTTAACAGGTTTTAAATCCCTTTTCCTGAATTCACTGGTAGATGGAGTTCATTTGTCTTTGAAATAACTTATTTTTCTATTTACTTCTTTAGTCTAGATGGAGTGTGAGTGTGGTACACGTGCAATGGCACTTATTTAGAGATAAGAGGACAATTTTGGAGTGTGTTCTCTGCTTCTATTTTATTTTTGAGGAAAAGACTCTTGTTTTTCTCACTACCGTTTCTGCTTCCTGTTTGGTCATGGGTGTTATAATTACAAACCTGAGCCACTGCATCTGGCTTTTTTTTTTCTTTTTACCATGGGTTCCAGTGTAAAAGGAGGCAGAACTTTCCTGTCCCAATTGCCCAGTTCCAAATAATCACACAAGAGCTTATATTAATTACAAAATGCTCAGCCTGTAGCTCAGGCTTATCACTAATTAGATCTTACAACTTATATTAACCTATTTTAATTAATCTACAGTTTGCCACATGGCTTGTGGCCACTTGTCCTCTAGCATGTCTCATTTCTCTGGCAGCTGCCTTGCATCTCCCCTGAGTCTGCTCTTCTTCCTCTCTATATTTTCAGTTTTGCTTTCCTTCCTGCCTTATTCTGCCTTACTATTGGCCAAAATAAGCTTTATTATAAACCAATGAGAGTAATATATATTCACAGCATACAGAAGGATTATCACACAGCATTCTAGGAATTGAACTCAGATCCTCAGGCTTGTGGACAAGTACTTTGATCTGCTGAACCTCACTGGCTTTGATATCACTTTTTATCTTTTAGGTGTCTTTTCACTCACCTTATACTTGAACAATAATTGACCACCAAGGCCAGCCCCTTCTTTGGTTTTTATAATTAAAATTGAAAATGTTAATTGTATATATGATTTAATGCTGTGATTATTGAAAATGGACAAAATGCACATCAGTTTATTCAGTAGGAGCATTCAGTTACCCTTATTTAAATACAGAGTTGTAGGCTGGAGAGGTGACTCAGTGGTTAAAAGCACTTACTGTTCTTGCAAAAGATCTTGGTTTAGTTCCCAGTACTGACATGGTGGTTCACAAACACCTGTTATTCCAGTTTCTGGGGATCCAATGCACTTTTCTGACCTTGGTAGGCTAATATGCATATGGTGCACATACATATCTTCAGGTACATACTAATAAAGTATATATATGTATATAATGTTATATATATTCATACTCTTACTAAAACAATAAAAGAAAACATAATGTTAAATCATATCTATCAGAAGCACACACTTAACTTAAAGAAGAAACACTGGGCATACAAACACAAATGTGGGCACACTCAGATTTTGAATCTCCAGCACCCACATTAAAAGCTGAGTGTGGCCACACTTGTGACCGTTACCTCAGTGCTTATTGGAGGTGGAGACAGGAGAATCACTGAGGCTTATTGGCTGTCAGCCTAATTCCAGGTTCAGTGCCAGACTTTCAAGGGAAGATGGTAGAGAATGATAAAGCAGGACATCAGATGTCATTCTCTGTCCTCGAGAATATAGTCAAGTGCGGTTGCACACGTGTGCATATATACTACATAAACAACAAGGCCAATTAAATGCAAGAGACAAAGGAAATATTTAAAGGGAACTTTCAATGAGTCTGGCTCACATTAAGCTTAAAATCATAGAAATATTGTTCCACCAATTGTTCTCAATTTCTGTCTCCTTCTATATGAGCAGCTCATCCTGTTGAGAGTCATTTGAAAGGTTAAAGACATATGCAATTCATGCCACATGGCACAAAAGAGTAACTATTAAAGTGGTTTTCCAGAAGAAGCACTTACTTAAATATGTGTTGGGGTGGGAAGGATTTATTTTTCTTGTTGGGAAATGGTTTTCCAAAGTGGTTAAGGAATTTTTCTAGAATATTTTTTGTCAGGTTCCAAAGAAACTCAGGGGAAATGCCTAACTGTAGTGCCTAATAGCATACAAAATGCATGCTGGCCAAAGACTTTCTCAACATCACACACACCTCTTACAGAGTACTGGCTCCTCTCATCGCATCTCACTGCTGCCCCCCATCTCCAGGCCCTGAGCTTTGCTTCCCTTCCCCCACCTTCTGATTCCTATTTAACTGCCATTACAGCCACAAGATCTCTCTGTCCTCCAGTTTCTTTTGGCCCTCTGTCCTCTCTCTCCTTTTGCTCTCTCACTCCCCCATCTTTCTCCTCTCATGGCCTGGTTCAGTCTACTGGCCATGTCTACTGTACTACTTTCTCTTCCTGCTGTGGACTTTTCCAGAGGCCTCTGGCTGTACTCTTTCTCTCTCATTATCTACAATAAAAACCTTTTCCTCAGCCGTACCTTGAATACCGATCATGTCCTCATTTTTTTTTTCTTTTTTACTGTTTTTGGTTTTACCTTAACCACTTTAGAATCCACTCCTTTCTCCACCTACATTGCCAGGTCAGAGCTAGATTATTTAGTTTCCTGAAGAAATAGCAGGTAGAGTATCCATGCTTTTAGAAGGCTTCCAGGCCTACATTTTTGAGCTATGTGAAGGAAAGCAATCAGTACAACTGAGGATAATTTTACCCCTGTAACCAAGGTAGCTTTGTGCTATTTTTTATGGGAAAATAAATGCATTTTTGTTCATCGTTGAAAGAAAAAGTATTTTGTGCCTCTGACACACATTTTGAGTCCCTTTTTGAGATTCCAAAGTTAAGCCAAAGTTTACTTATTGTAGAACTGAAAGTTAGACTTATTACTTTATTATAGTTCCTTTGTTGTAACCGGAAGGTGGTAAAAGTCAAATTATCTTCATATACTATTACCTAGATTATAGATCTCTTCTCTTAGCTGATATATAGAATGTCTTGGGAAAACCCAACTCTTTTCTTTAACAAAGATTGTACAGGGCATAGATTTATTGATTTTAAGTTTGCTGATATTTTTCACAGTTTCTAATTATGATTCCAACAGGTATTATCTTTTGATGCCTATTTGGAAGATGAAGTGCCTGATAAAAGGCAAGAAAAGTATAGAATAAGATACTTTAAAATCTATTTCTACCTTGAAGATGACACCATTCAAGTAAATGAACCAGAAGTGATAAATAGCGGACTGCTTCAAGGTATTTATTCAAAACAACATTATGGCTCTTTTGCTTCTAACTCATGCCTTTATATATTGTTTGTCTTTAGCTTTTTGAAAGGCCCCATACTAATACTTGGGCATCTTAGTTATGCAAAGCCATGAATATTAACATGACATTAGCCTGTAGTTTGTGATAGTGACTTAGCTTATTTCATACTTATAACTCAATGTAGGCCATTTTTTCTCCTCTGCCTATAGTCTCTAATATAGCAAACTCTCATGTGTTTTTGACCATGTCTTCAAATCTTTTGGTTTCTTTGGCACTAGTGCATCACTTCACTACATTATCCAGGATGCTATTGCTTCTTTTTTTATTGGGAGAAAAGGAAGTGTTTCTTCCTTGCAAATTTCAGGGTGCTATTATTTATTTTTCTTGAATTTTCTGCCTGTTGTTTGTGTCATTCTAGCTTTTCTTATCTACTGATAACTAACACTATTTATGGTAATTATCATGACCTTGATATTTGTTTTATTGTGGTTGTTAGTTTTAACATTGCTGTGACAAATTTCTGATAAAAAAAAAAAACCTTAAAGGAGGAGCTATCTATTTTGCTCATTGTTTCAGCTCATCATTGAGGGGTACGGAGCACAGTGGAGCAGCTGACATTATGATGATCAGCAAGCAGAGTAGAAAGTATCAGAGGCCAGGACAAGATAAAACTGTCAATAATATGTCAGTGATCTACTTGCTTCAATTAGAACCCACTTGCTACAGTTATTATTCCTTTAAAAACGCGGCGGGGCGGGCGCGGGCATGTGGACGAACACAGGATAGACGGGACACGCGCAAAGGAAAGACAAGACACGCGGTTCCCACGTGGGTGTGTTTAATGGGGAGAGGGGAACACGATAAGGGCGGGACGTGCAGACACACAAGGGTAAAGGGAAAAGGACCAAGGGAGCAAGAGAGCGAAACCTCGTGGAGCGCTCGCTTTTAACTGGGGGCGCAAGGTTATCTGGGAGTAATGGTCTTCACCTGGGCGCAGCCAGTGCACACGCAGGTGATCCAGGAGAAGTCTGGGAGCTGTAGTTTCCAAGGAATAACAACAGTTCTACACCCTTCAAAATGATCTATTCAAGTTTTGAATCCAGTAATGTATTAATTCTTTCATTATAGTCTCAGTTATCCTCTTTGTTAGATCAGCACTGTCCTAATGTAATCATTCTGGAAATGCCCTCACAGTTGTAACCATGGTATGTTTTTCTAGTTTCCTCGTGTTTCTGAGTCCAATCAAATCAACAAGATTAACTACCATAGTATCTCAACAGAACCCTGTTCCTTCACTCCATACATGCCTGTAGTCTTTATCTGTATTCCACTTCTGTTATAAATGAGAGTTAACCTTGTAGCCACAGAGAAGCTGATACTAGAGATCAAAGGAGGTGACATTTCATTTTGTGCTGTGCTTCTTATTCTGGAGTGAGACTGAAATCTGGATGCCATCAAGGGATAGCAATCATGATGGGGACAGGACTGACAATGTTTCATGTGTAAGATAGAGCAGTATAAAGGATGCCTGTAATAGGAAGACTCAAGTGTCCTTGATAAGTGTCTTTGATATCTAACTGAATGCATCTAGATGTTGCTTTTCACTAATAGTACAGTAGGAATATAGAAGGGGATTTGAGTGTTTGGTGTTGGTGTAAATGACTTTCTAGAGTCCCTTATTCTCTAAGGAGCCATGATTTTCAACTGCAATAATGTGTGTGTGTGTGTGTGTGTGTGTGTGTGTGTGTGTGTTGTTTTTTTGGAGTATTGTCACCAGAAATATTTCAGACTTTGAAACTTTCCTCTCTGACTATAATGTATCATTTTCTTTTCCCTACTTCTTCACATTTACCCTACTATCCTGTTCTTGATTTTCAGCAAAACACATACCCATGTCTATTCTCTTTGTTGTTATTCAAACTTATGCTGTTCTCATTGTTTGATTATAGGAATGGGACAGTCGCCTACCATGGACTCCTTGTCTACAATTTCAATTTCATTCATGATGTGTTCTTTTTGTGGCAGCTTAGAGAATACCTTGGAGTAGTGCTGGACTCCAAGAAGTGTGTAGACAGACTTTCCCATAGACCAACAAAGAGAAGGCTCATGGACCAAATTCAAATGAGTGAATCATATAATACATTAATTTAAAATGTGTAGTGAGGGCTGGGAATGTAGGTTAGTTATAAAGCCATTGCCCAGCACATGCAAGGCCCTGAGTTCTAGCTCCAGCACTGCAAAATCAAACCAACTAGCCAGCCATCCAGACATTGGGGAAAATACAGTGAGTAATAGGGGGAAAGACACGTTGAACCCAGTCTAAATTGAAGGCAAGAACACTCGACCTGAGTCCTGAGATAGACAGCACCTCCATACCCCACTTTATAAGCTTTGCTAGAAGGCAGTGTGCCTAGAGAGCAATATTGAGGGTAAAACAAGGAGAATTACAGACAGGAGAAGATTGGGCCAAAGGTTCACACTTACACAGATTGATGAGTGTGGAGATGAAGATGCTCGGCCACAGCTGGAGCTCACCAGCAGTCCTATTGAATAGTAATAGGTTTTGTTTGTGTTTCTTGGGCAGGGTGCACTTGGGGCCACAATTGATGTCACCAACGAATGAGTGATCGAATTAAAGCCTTATGAATATTTAGTACTCATGAATATTTACTGATGTATATATTTAGTGTACATGAATATTTAGAGCCCAGGTGCCACATATATTTAATATTTACTGAAAGTTTGTTGTTTTAGTCTTTTCATTCTTCCTTTCTATATTTAACACATACATTTTGTACTTACTACTTTCTTATTGCTATGTCTTATAATTTCTGCCCATGTTGAATAAGATTTTTGCTTACTTGATACTTATTTATGCCTAGTGCCTGCATAGTGATTCATCATGATGAATTTAAAGAGGAAATTGGGGTGCAATCAAGGACTTATGAAAAAGATCAAGGAATTTTTTTCTTCCTGATTGTGTAGCTTTATTGTGTCTGGTATATGGGATGATGAATTTGGAGCCAGTTGGCACTGCCAAAAAGTATTTGTTAAATACCTATCTTTGAAAGCCCAAGACCAGAGGCTAGAACAAGATGAAGTCTGTTGCTGTGATGCATTGGGAGGCATTACGCCTTCAAAGGACTGTTGAGACATCTATATGATGATACTCACCAGGCAGTTAGAACCTTGTAGGGAAAAACAAAACCAAGACTAGAAACCTGGACTGGGAATCAGGCACCCAGATTATAACCAGAATCAGTCTGTTTCCTTTTGTGAGGGTGAGCAGCCCCATTACTCTGCATCTCAGCTCCTATTCTATCTGTTCTCTGGCCAATATCAATGATTGTCCAGTAAATCTTTTAAGAAATATAAAGATACATTAAAAATAAAAAGGGTCAGGCAGTGGCAGTACAGGCCTTTAGTCCTATCACCCAGGATGCAGAGGCAGGTGGGTCTCTGTGAGTTTGAGGCCAACCTAGTCTACAGAGTTAGTTTTAGGACAGCCAGAGTTGTTACATAGAGAAATCCTGCCTCAAAATAAATAAATAAATAAATAAATAGAAGTTTTGAAAAAGGTTTTCACAGACTTTAAGGGTAAAAATGTGACATTTTCTTTTGTGAAGGGAAAGCAGTTTTAGACACTTGGGGAGAATTATTTTCACATGTAAAGATTTTTTTTTTAAATCAGCAAGGTCAGGTATAGTGATGTATATTTTTAATTCTAGCCCTCAGAAGACAGAGGTAGGAGGATCTCTGTGAGTTTAAAGCCGGCCTGGTCTATGTAGTTAGCCATAGGACAACCAGGACTCTGTTGAGAGACTTTGTCTCAAATAAACAAACAAGCAAGCAAATAAAAAACAAACAATAACAACAAAACAATCTGCAAATATATATTAGGAATGTTTGAAATATTGAACATAAAGGGAAAGTTACAACTTTTCATTTTTGTGATCATGTGTTACTTTAGTATATTCAGTTAGTATGTGGACAGTATTGCTTTAGCAAAAAAATACATTTGAAACCTTTAGTAAATAAATAAATAGAAGATGAAAAAAAGATTTATTTTTATTTGTATGAGTGTTTGCCTGTGTACTACATGTATGTTTGGAGCTGTATAGCCCAAAGAAGGCATTGGATACTCTGGAATTGGAATTACAGATAGATGTGAGTTGCCATGTGGGAGCTGTGAAGTGAATTTGTGTTCTCTACAATAGCACAAAGTGCTCTTAACCACTGAGCTATCTCTGGCTCCTAAAATATTCTTTCTTCTAGGCTTTTCCTTACTCTTGTATTCCCTAACCAAGCTTTGTTTACTTTTAGATTACCTTTCCTACTGTTATATCCAGCTTGTACAAATGGGGGACTAGAGGTTCCAAGATACCCCAAACTTCATTATTTGCTTGAATTGTTTGATTTTTATTATTACTTGTGCATGTGTGCAGGCATGTTTGTTTGTGGAGGGAGGCCACAGATCAACTTCAGATTCTTTTTTCAACACTTCCTCATTTTTATTATCTTTTTTGAAACAGAGTCTAATTATGTATCTGTAGGTATGGACTGGAAGTTGGTATATAGATCAGGGTGGTCTTGAACTTATGAATGTCCACTTGCCTCTGCTTCCTGAGCTTTGGGTTTAAAGATGTATGACACCATGATTGTATGCTTTTTTTTTTTTTTTTGATACAGGATCTCTCATTGAAACTGGAACTCACTTATTCATCTTGGTTATCTGGCCAGCAAGCACCAAGGATCTTTCTGTCATCACCTCTATAGCTCTGGAGTCTAGACATGTGCTACCATGCCCAGTTTTCTTTTCTTTTGGTTTGTTTTGATTATGGTTGCTAAGGATTGGAGCCTGGGTCCTCAGCTTGCATGACAAGATTTTTACCTACTGAGCCATCTCTCTACCCTGTTATTAGTTTTAGATGAAAATTTAATATTCTTGAACTTTAGTGGCCCTTGTCTAGTATGCTTTTATTTCATGA